AAAAAAAAATGTTGGCCTGGGTTTCCTCACCCTTGGCAGTTTTAAGGTGGGTGGCCTTCAACCCCCAGAAGCCCCGAGCCAGCCAGGCTGGCTGGGGAATTCTGGGAGTTGAAGTCCACCCACCTGAAAGCTGCCAAGGTTGAGAAACCCTGTGTTAGACAATGCAATAAGTTCATTTTCAGCAGGCAGTTCTGATTAAAGCACACTTCTCCAGCAATTTTCTCTTATTTCAATCCTCAAACTCTCCAATCTGGAACGATTACATGCCTGCAATTGATCCCCTGCTTTAAGTGATGGTCTAAAGTGAAGTATATTTTATACCGGGCAGAAAGACAGCCACCACTTCTTGTGTGATCATACAGCATGCAAATAAAAGAATTAGCAAGGCTTTCTATCACTCTGTTTTAACTCCATCTTGGTATTAGACATCTTGTTCCAGAGTTTCACAAACGCATAACGTATTGCATGAAAAAGCCCATCGCTTTCCAAACCTTGAATCTGTATGAACCCAATAATTATAAGAAGAAAAAATTCTCTTTGTCCACATTATACACAAGTTTGTAAGAACTTCTCTCATGTCCTCATGAACCACTTTTTTCCCTCTCTCCTTTGTTAAAAGGCCTAATTTTGAATTTTTCCTTTTTTCATGCCCCGTTGCCAGCAACGTTTTCAAGACTGTAAGATGATGAGCATGCTCCAGGGAGCCAGCTCCTGTTTAGTTTTATTTATTTGTGTATTATCCAATTTCAAGGCTGCCTGACTCCTTAACTGACTCCTGCGCGGCTTGCAAATAACAGGAGAACAGTGCATATAAAAAGAAATCACGGTTCACTGGAGGAACAACACAACCGACTGCAAAGCCGAACTTAACCTACTGTAAGGAGGGTCCGACACCTACCTATCTCAAGGCCTTGGAAAGCAAGTTTTGAATGAACTCCCGAATATTATAAAGGTGGGAGCTGTGTAGACCTCTGGACAGATGTCGTTCCAGAGGGCCGGTGCTGCAGCCGAGAAGGTGCACTTCCTGGGGCCTGTAAGGGGACACAGCTTAGACAACAGGACCCGGAGGGCACCTGCCCTGCTTGCTGGCACCAGATGGGCAGAAACAAGTGGAGATAAGCAGTATCTCAGATTGCCAGGCCCTATGCTTTGGAGGTGATAACCAGCACCATGAATTGCACCCAGAAGCCGACGGGCAGCCAATGCAGCTGGGGGGTCACGTGAGCAAAACGCGGTGCCCCCATGAATTGCCCGCCCAGGCGCATTCTGGACCAGCTGCAGCTTCTGGATGGTCTTCAAGGGCAGCCCCACGTAGAAGCCATTTAAATATACTGGTAGTCCTTGTTAGCAACCACAGTTGGGACCGGCAACTTGGTCGTTAAGCGAAGTGGTTGCTAAGTGCAACAACCGCGACCGTGCTTATGCTCCGGCTTCAGCTTTCCTTGGCTTTACAGACCTGCAACAGTCATAAATGTGAGGACTGGTCGCAAAGTTACTTTTCATCACTGCTGTAACTGTGAGTGGTCACTAAGCGAGGACTACCTGTATTTGAAATTGACCTTTTGTTTATGATCGGTGACCAGCGAAGTAGTTACAACAGTAAAACAACACCTATGATGCAGGATCCAATTTTACTGACCTAAAATCAGCCTTTGGTTCCACCCCGGGAGTCCCTGAGGTGGAAATTCAGCCTTGCGCCCATTGACGGGCGGCTACTTTTACTAATGAAAAGAGTCACCCAGGTTAGATATAATGGAACAACCCATCTTACTAGAGACACGACAATCTATCAGTGTATTTTGGCTCCCATCTAAATATAGGCCTTAGGGTACTGCTAGGCGATGGCTCCTCAGGCCTGGTTAGGCCTCGGATGGGAGACCACGAGGAAATGCCCGAGCCCTCGCCTCGGCTGGCCGGGTCAAAGGCGGGAAGAAGGGCCGGGGTCCCCTCACGCCCCTCTTTTTCAGCGGCGGCTCCTCTGGGCCCAGGGGTTGCAGCCTTCGACTCCCAGAATTC